AGGTGATGGAAATGGCATTTCAACGGGGAGATCCTCTTCCCTCAAATGTCCAACCCTCCTCTAACATGAGAAAAACAAAGTATGTGACAGAGAGACATCCTGCAGCACACTTGACCAGTAACTTCGAAACTGTCAGTATCATCATGAAAAAAGCCCAAAAAGCTGTCACAATTAAAAAGAGGCTCAGAAGACATGATGGTTAAAATAATGTGGTTTTCTAGTTGGGATCCTGGAACATAAAAAGGACATTAGGAGAAAACTACAGAAATCTGAACAAACAGTGGGACTTGGGTTACTAATGGTGTGTTATAACTGGTTCATTACCTGTAACAAAAGTACTATATCAGTGTAAGAAGTTAATAGAATTGGGTGTGGGGTATGTGGTCACTTTGCACTATCTTCTTGTTTTTTCTGTTAATTTCAAACTAGCTATAAAATATATGTTTTTTAAAAAACAAGATACAGTGGATGACTCACTCCAACTTGATTCCCATGCTTATTATAAAGTTCCATTGTTATAGGTAAAATGTGGTATTGATATGCAATATATATATACAGAAGAATGAAACCAAACGGAGAATCCATATGTAAGCCCACACTTACAGGCAAACTGACTTTTAGCAAAGGTGCCAAGGTAGCTGAACATGGAAAATAATCTTTCAAGGTGTAGGGCTGGAACAATTTAATAACTCTGGAAAAATTACCTTCATTCTTACTTCACTGACTTTTCCTAAGCTTTCCTTCACTTACTTTTCTTACTCTGCTGAACTCAAAATGGACCATTGACCTAAACATAAACATGAGACACACAAAACTTCAAGATATGAGATGATGAAGGATGTAATGGTGTCAGCTTTAATGTATGACATCTCAGCCAATTTGATGATGGATAGGGCACCTGGTACCTTTCATTCACTGGTAAGTAGAATTCTCAGATACCTTTTTGAGGCATGTGGCATTTATATCATTTTACAGATGAGGAAACATGCTCAGTTCAGTTTGTTGTCCAGGATTATACAGCTAGCATGGCAGACACAGTTGGTGCCCATGTCCTAGCTCCTTGGTCACTTTCTGCAGTGCCATAGCTGAGTTGGGTTCTGAGTTGAGTCACACTTATGAGGACATCATACTAAACAGAAGCATTTTGTGTGTGTGTATTTTTTTTTCCTTTTTCATTCCGCGCTGTCTCTAGGATTGCAGGAGTCTATGTGATATCCATGTAAGTGCAAACTAGAAGTATGTGTGTGTGGGCGGATTATTTCCACAGGGACACCAGAGCTGCTGGATAAGTGCTCCAGTGTCCTCTCCTTCAGACATACAATTTTAGGTGCTTCCTGTACACTCTTCTGAGATCATGATGGAAGAGAGTCCCTGTTGCCTTGAGCATTAACCTTGACTGCGGACCATTGATTGCATTGACCATTCTTTCCTGTACCTTTCTTCCTGTCCCTCAGATCATTTCTCAAATAAACCACTTGTACCCACGTTCTAATTTCAGGCTCTGCTCCCTGTTAAAACCAAGAATGGCTCTCAATGGCAGACACTTAACATCGGACTGTGGAACTGGACCGTCCATTATTTGGTCAGGTAGTAAATAAGACCATATAAGTAGATAGTGACAACTTTCGACAGGCTGTACTATTAGAATTTCTAAGACACACTTTTTTTTTTTTTTTTGCATTGAGATGATGTACAGGTGAAAAGGAAGAGTTGGGTTCTACCATAGCTTTGAACTTGACTGATACAAGGAAATCTATTGTCGTGTACTGACTTGTACCATGAAGTTGGCTGCTTTTTGATAATTGCAGTAGAAGAAAATGGTTAGGATTACGTCAGCCTACTGTTGACCTAGGGCATGCCAGAAAGCCAGACAGTCTCCATAGCATGTTTAAAGAGAGCCATGTCTCCTGGAGCCAAAGGATGGACTGCTCTTAAAATTAAACCCATGCTGCAGATCTAAGGGTGGCAGGGCTACAGAGGGACATGCAGGTTTGACAGGTTGCTTATGACAAAGCTGGAACCGTGAAAGGGAAGGAGTCTCTTGGACCGAGAATAGGGGTATTTATTGAAAGTGTCTCAGAAACTTAAACCTACAGATTCCTGGCCAGCAGAAGGAATTCTCTTTGGCTACAGAACAGCTGCCCCTTGCCAGACAATTCAACTGAGGCAGGTGTTCACAGGTTAGTGCTTCTATGTGGGATCTGCTTCTTTTACCTCTCATTGCCTCCAGGATTTAGAGTCTTAGCAGTTCCAGCAGGGAAATTCCATTTCTGACCTGGGAGGAAACAGACTATTTATGGGAAGATTTGGAGAACCTGGATAGTACATAGTGGTATGACACAGGGGGATTTGGGAATAGGTTTTGAGGGTGTTGGATGATGGATGGTATAATGAGGGTCAGAGAGGATTTATTGGGATGGGCTTATTCTTCAAATCAGGATTTAATATACTGGCAAGAATATTTAGGAAAGGCATGCTGTATATATTCATATTAGTTTTAATATCAAAATTCCAACTAGTTCACAAGAATAAGTCAAATTAAACCCAGATTTGTTCTCTTTGTGAGCACTGGAAATTCTTTATCCAGCACCCTTAGGTTATAATCAGTCATTGCAACATAGAGTTCACATTGACCTGAGTGGAAATAATGATAGTTTAAGAAGAATGAATGTGCCAGTTATCTGTAAATTCATGTGCACTGTCAAGACAATCAAAACTTTCAAAATATGAGGCTAATTCAAAAGATGAGGCTGGGGATATAGTTCAGTTGGTAGAGTGCTTGCCTCTCACGCACAAGGCCATGGTTCAATCCCCAGCACCACACACACACACACACAAAGATTAGGAATGGAACCAATATATGACCCAGCTAAACCACTCCTTGGCATTCATCCCAAAGTATTCATGTCAGCATACTATAGCAATACACAATACTATGCTTATAACAGTTAATTCTTAATAGCCAAATTATGGAAGCAGCCTAGGTGTTTATGAACAGATGAATGGATAAAGAAAATGTGATGCTACAGGGACACAGCCACATTAATGTTTATAGCAGCACAATTCACAATAGCTAAACTGTGGAACCAACCTAGATGTCCTTCAGTAGATAATGGATTAAAAACTGTGGCATATATACACAATAGAATATTACTTAGCAATAAAAGAAAATAAAATCTTGGCATTTGCAGATAAATTGATGAAGTTAAGAGAAGATAATGCTAAGTGAAGTTAGCCAATCCCAAAAAACCAAATGCTGAAGTTTTCTCTGATATAAGGTGACTGACTCATAGTGGAATAGGGAGAGGGAGCATGGGAGGAAAAAACTCTAGATAGGGCAGAGGGGTGAAAGGGGAAGGGAGGGGCATTGGGTTAGCAAGGATGGTGGAATATGATGGACATCATTATCCAAAGTACATGTATGAAGACACAAATTGGTGTGAACATACTTCATATATAACCAGAGATGTGAAAAACTGTACTCTGTGTAATAAGAATTATAATGCATTCCGCTTTCATTTATTTAAAAAATATCAATAAAAAAGAAAATGTGATATAAATACATAATTGAGTTTTATTCACTCATAAAGAAGACAAAATTATGTCATTTGTAGGAAAATGGATGGAAGTTAAGAACATTGTGTTAAGCTAAATAAGACAGATTCAGAAAGTCAGGGTCATGTTTTTTTCTCAAAAGTGTAAGTTAGAGATAAAAGTGGGGGAAAAATGGACATAGAAGGGAAACCAGTAGAGTAGCGGAAGAGGCCTGAGAGAAAAGAAGGAGGAGGATTGGGGAATGAAATTGACGAGTTATGGTTATGCATGTATAAATATGTCACCACAAATCCCACTATTTTACCATAATTATGCACCAATACAAAATTGGTGGTGTTATTTCTTTCTATGTTTGGAAGAATTATTCAATGAAAAAAAAATAAGGATAATTATTGCAGGCATCTTTTGAATGTGTGCAAGGGTCTGAAATCTCTACCAAACAAATTGAGTTAGTCTTCAGCAGAAGGATGCAATTGTCTTATGGCATTAATGACTTGGGATGACAGGTTTACTTGTCAAAATATAAGATGAATATTTCTGTGATGAGGTGCAAAGGCATCCTATGATTTTTCAATACCTGTATTAGCAAAGTTAGAATACCAGGATACTTTAAATAACTTTATTCTTACATTTAACAAGCTCTTATTAGAAATGCTTTGGTGTCAATACAATAAAAATATGCTGGTTTTAGCCCCCTCCCCACTGAATCATGTCAAATTACTGGAAAAGTTAAGCAGTTGTTCTCCGCAGCTGTTTTGGAATTTTTTCACAAATAATAACTACTACTTATTCACATGGTTTAATATGGATATAATTATATTTTTTTTGGATTCCAGGAAAATGAAACAAAATATCCTGAAGAGAAATTTGCAGACATTTCTTAATTTCTTCTCCAGAGGTTGCTCACATAGGTGATACAGCCGTCAGATCACTTTTTTCCCCAGCTTTGCCATTCTGATCCTTAAAGCTGTAAATTAAAGAAACAACAAGAGTTCTAAAAAAAAGCCTTAATTTATATTCTAAATGACCATTTCATAGAATGCAGGAAAGTTTAGAACATACCTCAGATGGTTTTATCCAACAATGTGAGCATTGTTTTAGTAGCACAAAAAGATAGTAGAAATGATAAGCTATGGTTAACTTAGGGCAGAAGCAGGTTCAGAACTAGAAAGAACCTAATTCTATAAAGATTATAAAAATTAGTAGAGCAAACACAGTACAAGTTGAATAAACATAGGATTAGTGCACATTTTCACAATTTGCCATAGATACATGTTCTTAGAGGTCAATTGTGTATTTCTGAGCTATGTACTACTGAAAAAATGGTAATTAATGCTTAAAATATATTTCATGGTTGGGTTATATTTTAGCTCTTTAAACTTGGTTGTTCAAAGGAGTTCTGGCCTTTGAATATACAATGATAAAACCGAATTTTTTATATATATATATAAAACAATGTGAACTAGCAGTTGAGTTGGATTGATTATTAATTATCTCTGTTAAGATATAAATATGCCTTCAAATAGCAAATGTATCTTTTTTGAGTGTGTTCTACTATTAATGATATGTGGATGTAGAAAGCATTTTTTAAAATGTAGGTTTAGGATTTAGAACAGTCCTTTGGTATTCTGGTATCATGCCTTAATGTTTAGGACTTCAGAGTGTAGCTGCCTCAGTCATGTTTTAAAGGTTGAGAGCTGTTTCCAAGGCACTAACCTACTGATTATATTAAGGATGTGGTATTACATTTATGTGTAAAATGGATTAAGAACTAGTTACTAAGCTAATTGCACAATTTTGTTTAATGAAAACCAAAAGGGAAGACATGATCTCTCATTTCAGTACCATATATGAAAAGGGATTGGATCTGCTACTATTAACAAGACCATGGTCATTTTTACTCTCAGTCTAATCTACCTATATGAATTTTTTTTGTTTCAATTAAGTTAAAAATTATTATTTCCCTTGACATTTGAATGATCATTCATAGTTTCAGGAACAAGAACCTTCCCTTTAGTTTGGGACAGCTGAGAAAATTTCCCCCGCCCTGTCTTAGGCAGGTGGTCTCTGGCTGGGCATTGTTGGGTGGTGAGCCTCGAGAAGGGGTCTGTAGTTCTACAATATGAGGTAAGCACAGGCAAAAGGCAAGATGTTATGAAGTTTCTACCTTGGATTTTATGAACCTCTACCTTGCCAATGCTAAAAGAGAGCAGGGGTAAGTGACTTTTTAATGGTCTAAGGCAGGCTGAAATCCTCTTCCCTACAGTTACTCCTCATCTTGAGATTCTGTCAATCAGGCAGGCTCTGTGTATCACGACTTCCACTGCAGTTGGTTAGAGTCTGCTTTCCTCCTTCTCGCTTCAAGCCTATGGTGGGTATAGATGGTAAGAATTACAGATAGTTGTGTGGGGACAGAGCATGCTGGCAATGGAAGTCCCCTAGGTGTAGCAGGTTCAACACCTCGGTGTCAGTTCTTTTTTTCTTCTCTGATTCCTTTTTCCTCTCCTGGTAGCAATTTGGACACAGTTATAGCTGCCTAAACTTGGTGGGAAAGATCTTCTCTCCTTCCTTTCAGTATCCCTTGGCCCCTACTAGCTGCCACAGGTTGGCAATTTCAGCACCAATAACATGTGAATTCCCCAGAGCTGAGGTTCCCCACTTTGTCAACCTGAAATACTACTTATATCCATAAGAGAGCAGAATTGAGCTAAAACTACAAGAATGGGTGTGTGAAACTACCCAGGAAGGCCAGCTGTCTCTTGTGGGAGTGTAAGAGTAAAATCCCAGGAAAAGCTTGTTGGAACCACACATTAAAGGTACAGCATTGAGCTGCACCTTAGTACATGACCATGTTACATTACATTAGCAGATGGACATAATATTGCCTAAAATTTCCTGTCATTTTTATTACCCTATTTATAATTTTGACAAAAATATTTTATCTTTAAACTTTCTAGACTCTGGCTTTTCCCATTTCTACCTCCTTCTGTTTTCCAATTAAAAGCTGCTTTTTAGATAAGGCTATATATCAATAGAAAAAGAGACTAACCATTCATAACTATTAAATCTACAAGGACTATTTGTATTTAAAGGGGACCTATAGCAGAAATAAAGGAATCGATTTAAGTGGTAGATTTTTAAATACAATCATTTTGGGGGAGCTGTGATGAGAAGCTCAATCTACTTCATGTTTATGAAATTAAAATATTCTATACATATGGATGGCCCCTGAGATATATATATATATATATATATATGACAATATGATTAACTTATTTTAAAAACTCATTTAAACAAATACAGCTCTTCTTCCCCTTGATGAATGGGAAAACAGGGCTGTAAAATAATATCATGATGAAAGGCAAGGAATTTGGAGCATTCTGTTTATAAGATCCAGGATTGATAGTACAGAACTTTGTATTGTTACTTTGTCTAGAATAGCTTTTCCTGTTTTCATTATTGTAGTTCAGGGGCAATGATTAGTGTTGTCTGGAAACATTAGTCACTTCCTGTCATTTTTCTTGGGGTAAATGTGTGGATATGCTTAGGGGAGAAGGAATAGGGTGTTTGGAAGGAGCTGGCTAACATCCAGGTTCAGAAAAGGGACGTCTTACAGTGGGTAATGTCACTGCTGTTGACCATAAGCAGTGCATTCCTCTTTCCAAGTCCTCTGTGTTGTTTTACAAATGCATTTGAAATGTGAAGTTTGATCAGCAAACAAAGTTCATTCTAAAAAGAGAAAGAATGTAGTCTTTACAGGTTTTCACTGTGGGGGTACCTGACTCAACTCCTATTGAGTAAGATATATAGTGGACACTTCTTAAGGGCTTAGAAATTCTTCAGATGATTAAATTTACAACTGGTACCCTAATTTAACTACTTAAAAGAATGGAAAAAGGTCCATTTCATTGTATTATTAGCAGCGCAAGATTGGGTTAAGGTTTGTTGAGGAAGAAACATCCAGAACTGGGCAGGTACCACACTTCTATAGAGTTAGGTTCTATTTGCTGAATTGGCTGGTACTTGGTGTCTTTTGCTTTTTAATGATAATTCTTCATTTAGAGACATAAAATATTAGTATCCCTTTCAAACACCCAGAATGTGTATGTTTGGGTCATTTGACTTATATCTCTAAACAAGGGATATTTTTAGCACAGCTATTCTAATTGAGTCTGTCAGGCAATTTATTATTTCTTTTATAAATGATAACTAGAATATGATGTTTAAGTGATAAAAAAGAATTTAAAATTGAGGAGCTATCACTTTGGTAGAAAAAAGTGTTAAAGTTCTTTTTCATTCAATACTAAAATAATTTGGTGGCTCTAAAGCTATAAAAACTTCATAGAGAATGAGAAAGGCAAATATATAAAAATAGAAAAATAAATATGCTAAGTTGGAGAAGACTATGCAAAGTTAAATATCACAGATGATGTTAAGATAAACTGACATTCTATTTTTAAAAATGTAGAAATATTAAGGAGATAAAATTAATAAAACTATAAAAGTATAGAGAAACAAGATATAGCAAAATAACAAAATACTGTGAAAATAATATTCGTTTCTTGTATTTTTTTTCCTTGCAAAATTAAGGCAATTTGTTAACTTATGTGGAAAGTTGAAATCATAGCCAGGCACAAACAAAAAAAAAAAGTAGTTGTCATCAGATTCTGGTGGGAAATTTGTTATCAATGATCCCACATATTAGTGTCCCAAATACATTCACACCATGACAGAAGACAAATATCAAGCTACTAAAGTCAATCAATTTACTGTCCAAATAAGGTAACAATTTATTTTCACTTCTTAGCTTTTGAAGTGACTTAATCACTTTACTCTGGTGATAATATTTGGATCAGCCTTAAGAAAAATTCTGAGTGTGTATTAGTTTGTGAGATGTCAAAGAAGCCGAAAAAACAAGAGGGTTTGTTAACACAGAGAGAAAGTTGTCACATGACTAAACAGCAGTGGCATGCCTTGTCACTTTTATTACCTGTTAAGGATGGATCCTCAGTCCCATCTCCAGCTGTCGGAACATCAAGTGGAGAATGGCGGCCAGCGTTGCCTAAGCTTTCTTCTTGCTCTTTCAGAGATATAGAATTTTTGTGGGGAGACTTATGGTTTGTGTTTTCCTGAGGACTAACTTCGGATCTCTTTCTAGGAAGTGGTGTTGGTTTGGTTGGCTGGTAAACCTGACTGCAGGGAGCTATAGGATGGTAGGATGGCTTCTCCACTTCTCCTTCCTCCTCCTCCCCCTCATCATCAATTACCACCAGCTCAGCATGGATGATCCCATCATACCCTGTCAGCAGCTTTCTTTCTTCTTCATTATCTTCTGCCTGCTGATACCCCATGAAAATCATTGTTACAGGTTCTGTATTATCCATGTCAGAAGGCAATGAATGAACAATATTGTATCTAACATCCTCCTCCTCCTGGAGAGTGGGTGAAGAACCATGGGGTTCAGACTTCCCAACTGTTGCTTTGCTGGGGCTCAGTCTGGCCTTCGGAGAGGGCATATATTTGTCCTGACTGATATTCGATTCTTCCCAAGGAGGCATCACCCTCTTCTGAGGGGTATGGAATGTCTCTTCTGTTTGGTGAGTCATTGATCGAGGGAGAGGTGTTGGCCGGATGGGACTGATATGATTGAAGTCATTGCTCCTTTCTTCTGAAATTCCATTGTCCATATTGTACATGGATTCGTTTACATCATTGTCCAGTCCATTGGCTTTCATCTTTATCCTTTCTTGAAAGTTTGGTCCAGGGGTGACCTTTTCTCTCTGTGGGGTCACTGGCCTGCAAAATGGATTGGCATATACAGGCTCATGATACTCTGTTGGTGATTGAGAGTTTCTCTCGGAGGCTTGTCTTAAAATCTCCTCCACCTCTACTGGGGCCAGGCCATGGGTGCCATTGTGTGCTGCATTAGGATTAGAGCTGACCGCATAGACTGACTTCTGCCCATCCTCATAAACTTTTATCCCTGTACCTTTAAAGTCATCTGATGGGAGAGGTATTGAGGACAGAACTGTACTTTCTCCAGTCTTCAAGTCTTTTTCAACTTTAATTTCCATGGCATACAAAGCTGTTAAGAGACAAAAATTGGGTCTTTGATTTAGTTAACTCTCTCTTTTATAAACTAGCCTGCTTTCATAGGATTTATTTTTGTACACTTTGATGTTCTTTTATGTAAGATGTTGTTTATTTTTTAAGTTTCTAATTTTATTCATTAGTTATATAATGACCAACCTGGTAACAACATGGGTTTTTTAGGTATGAGTGTGTGGAATTTTGGAAAAAAAAAAAAACTGAAGGATTAAAGCAGTGAAGCTGATTGAAGAAGAGAAACTGATGGATCCAAATGGTAAGAATTGGGAACCAAAGATGTCCCCTTTCCAGTTAAGAAACCAACAAGGTAGATTTTTGCTTATTTTATTGCTCAGTGGGAGGAGTTCATCTCTCCGTTAGTGTTACATTATACACTGCAGGAAGAGAAATGCCTAGCACACCACATTTTATTGAGTTACATCCTGTGGCACAGGCCTGATGCCTTGAAATTATAGAGGAGTGTTCTAAAGTTTCCACAGCATGGGATTGTTTTGGTAAGGACAAGAAGAAGATAAGTCTAGAATCATATGCTTCTCTATTTCACACTAATTTTCAAGTAGAAGAAGTGTTAAAGACCCCACTATCAGCTGTTGAAACACTTGAACTGGAGATAATTGGTTGGGTTGGAGAAAATTGAGATCTGTTTAATGACCCAGATAAGAACCCTGTGGCTGGAAAGTTAATAGGCTGGGTAGAGCTAATAGGATTCTGTGAAAAACTGCAATGTGGCAATGTTGACTTTTGTCACATCCTCCCTCTATCCCTCATCTTGCATTTCATGCCTCCTCTATTGTCTCATGGTACTAGCTACCCAACCAAAATGGTACCATCCCTTATCCACACTCTCCTTGTCTCACATTTCTACTTTATTCTGCATCTCACTCCCTAATGTGATATGTTTAGTGAATATCTACTATATGCCTAACTAAGCTTGGTACAATTAGGTATTCACTGAATATTTGTGGAGTGGATAGATATGTCTACCTGCAGAAAGAGAGTAGCTTTTCCTTCTATTATAAAATTCAAAGGTCTCCTCTCTTCCCTAACACAAATATTCCTTTTTTTCCAGAGGCTCTGAAGTATATTATTTTTAGGAAAATTGTTCCCCTCCGAGGGTAAATAATGCTTACTTCCCAATAGACTGCTTTCATTTACAAAAGCACTTCAGTAACCCAAGAGGGTCTACTGAATGAAATATGTTGGGGGAGAGATTTTTGGTCAGGGAAACTTAGCTTTTGAGAGTTTCTAATTTCCTTCAAAAGCCTTTATTTTACCTGTTTATGACTAGTTTTGTAGGGAATAAAGTGCATGGAATAAATATTGCAACGTCATTATCCCTATCTGAATAAGTGACTGACATACCTCGTGGAAGTTTGTAAAATGGACCATTGCTTAATCTGGGAGCATAAGATGCCACAGCAAGTTGTAAATATATGATGCTGTAAATATGAAATTGAAGACATGCCATAGAACACAGATTTCTTACATACCTTTTCTATTTTGTTCATCATCCTCTATTCCTTCATTTCTTTCCTTCCTTAATCTGGAAGGTATGTAGGATTTTGGAAGGTCAGGGATATTAGCATAGATATCCTCAATTGATTCTGTAAAATTGATACAAATTAAAAATGCATTTAGGATATATTTATGATAATGTGAAAAAAAAATCTCACTGGGCTTGTCAAAAAAAATCTTATATGACATGAAATAGGCTGCTGAACAACATACCTCCCAATGTTTCTTCCTTTTCCACCTTCACAGACTATAAGAAAAAAAGAATTTGCCATAATTAATTCAGTTTAAAAAATAAAATCTAAATGTGGAAATACTTTGAAAAATTACAAGAGTATTTGTTGATTCATTTGGGAGGGAATCATAGTTTTATGATTAGTTGATACGCACTTTTATTATATCTTCTGTTGTCCTCTCAATTGATTTTAGTTTCTTTAAAATTGCTTCTTCATTGGTTGAGATTTGCAGTTCAGCCTTTTCAAGATCTTGGATCTCTTTCTCAAGCCTGACAACAAAAATGATATATTTTATTGATTGACACAGTATATATGTAGGGTTCTCAAGTATGTCTTCCTCATGTATGGACTTTCCTGGGAATACTGCATGTAAGCAGCCAGACACCTTCAAAGAACAGTGTCACATACAGTATCACACCAAGTGTCATGCTTGATACACCAAAGACACTTAACACCTGATTTTGAATTATTTTAGATTAAAAACTTAAAAAGATTTATTTATTCATTTTTGAACATAAGCACTTCTTAGGTAAAATACTGGACCTTTGTCATATATTCCTCACTGCAATTACTAAGGTTACTTCCAAATGAAGTAAACCAACTTCTTTTATAAAGAGACTTAAGGTTAGAGTTAACTAAAATGAATGGTACATTTTGTAATTATGCAGTTCAATTTTTTTCTTGCTCAAGACTCCATCTAAATTATTTGAAGAAATAATTATAATTATTAAACTTTATTTAACAATTACAACTATTTAAGACATAAAAACTCAGTCTATAATAACACTGAAAATGACACTGTTTTAAGTTACCTAAGAGTTGTGGTATGTTCTAGTGAGTAAGATGAACAGATGGGGAAATGGGCACAATCTAGTACAATGTCCTCACTTGCTGTTGTTTACAGAGACTATATTTTTGTGAAAAATGTGCATACATGGTTCAACAAACTATAAGAAAACTATAAAGCAAAGAGACACATTTGAAGTTGGACTGTTGCAAACATTCTGAGCTGGTATTTTGACCAGCATACAGTAGGCTGTCAGAATCGAATGAACTCCAGGGGGCATCATCATGACCTCTAATCTATAAAAACAGCCAGTGGCAGTCACACAATTACTCAGCCTGGCCCTTGGCAGCCATGAAGCACACATAGTGTCTCGGCCAAATACTCTAAGCCCCAACGTCAGCTGCCCCAGAGAATAGCTGATTAGAGACAGCAGCTGTCCAGGAGATGACAGCTGTGCATGTTTGTGTTAGTTAACGTAACTGTCATTTTTCTTGGCTTCCTCTTGAAGATGGTCATGGGCCTGGCAGCTCCAAAATCCTGTGCTATTGTTACACCAATAAAAGTCCAAGACATGATCTACTTGGCTGTTCTCCCTCTCATTGCTTCAGTTTCAAGGTTCTGACTTTGATGCTGCCTTTGCCATTAGTAGGTGGACATTTATAGCTGAGGGGGTTTTCTTGCCTATTACAGAAATTCAAGTGAAATGTAGAAGCCCTGATTTCTTAGCAGTTATTAACGTGTAACTACAATTTTTATTAAAATTTCTCTGTTTCCATTAGCATATTGGCCAACAGAAGAGTTGTGGGATACATGTTGGTCCACTTTGGTAGAGCAGAAAGCTCTGTAGGCAAAGTGATAGACCTGAATTCTGTTGTCTCTGCCTCTCACTATTTAATGACAGCTGACTCCCTTAATCTCCTTGAAACACAGCTTTATAATATGTACAGTAAGAATAATATTTGTCTTACTAATAAGCATTGTTGTTTATGAAAACAAATTGGATATGGTTGATATCAGATGTCAGTTTATCATGGAATCATTCTTCAAGATTTCCTGCAGAGACACTGTGCCTGCATCTCATCTCTTTTCATCCTGTCTCACAGGAACCTTTCCTAATGTGCATATTAGAGGCAGTTTACAATGAGGAAACTTTGGGTAGAAATTAAGGGGGTTATAGTCATTGCCGCAAATAGTTTTTGGACCTTAGGACCCAGATGTGGGATCAGGGGAACTTGGGTTTAAATCCTGGTTCATCTACCAACTTTCTTTGTGACTCTAAATGACTCATTGACTTCACCAAGACTCAATGTCTCATTCCTTCATTCATTCGTTTAAAATCTTTATTTAGCATCAAATTTGCACCAGAAACTATTTTATGTGCTAGGGTATGACAGTGCACTAAACACAGTCCCTGCCCTCCAGAGGTTTATATTCTAGAGGAGAAAATATACTAATACAGCATCTGGCAAGCTTTTTTTTTTGCAAAAGGTTAGATGCAAAATATTTGAGGCTCTCCAGTCTAGTCCACATATAGTTTCTATTGTATATTCATTCATTCTTTCCCCATTTTTCCTTTTGTTTTACAACCTTTTAGTAATAATTTTTTTAAAAACCCATTTTTTAGCTTGTATCTGTAAAAATACAGGACAGGGTTAGATTTGGTCCTAGATCATAGTTTGCCAACCCTTGTATTAATAAACAAATGTATATATAGAAATGTGTATGTGTACATATGCAATAATAAACAAATGTGTATATATACACACATTTGTTTCAAAGAACATATAGTTCTTTGAAAAAAGCAGGATAAGAACTATGAATACCAGGATAAGGGGTACATAACATGGTCAAGGAAGATCTCTCTGTTACTTGAGGAAATAAATGAGGGTGGGACATAAGAGAGTTTCAGTGTGCTCCAAAGAGAGAAAAAAGCAACTATAAGCTTGAAGTAAGAGCAGAGAAAGTAAGGAGACAAGTGACAAGAAGTGAAGAGGTGTGGCAGGTAGCTAGATGGCACAGGGTCTTGTGTATGGAAGGCCTTTGGGAAACCATTGGGAGTGTTGGAATTTACAGAGTTAGACAGGTTGCTGTGGTGAGAACAGGCCCAAGGGGCAAACACGGAGGTTAGTTGTAATTGTTCAGGTGAGGACAGCTTAATCTGGGGTAGTTGCTGGTAGAAGGATGAGAAATGGTTGGATTTTGGAAACATCTAGAAATGTTTACATGGGTGAGAGAGAAAGACAGCTGGGGGAAGGGTGGCTCCAGAGTTTGCGACCTGAATAATTGGGAAGATACAAATTTAATCAGCTAAACTAACACCAGGGAGACGGAAGACAGGAGATTAGGGCTGGGGGGACAAGTTCAATTTAAGATACTCAAGTGTGATATAGAGGAGACAGTTGGATACCTGGAGCTCAGAGGAGTATGGGTTTGAAGATATAAATTGAGAAGTTGGTATTTGAAGCCACATTAATGGGTAAGATTTTCTAGAAAATAAGGGAGGTAGTTAAAAATTTCAGGGACTGAGCCTGGGGCAATTCCACAGTTAAAGGTCGGGTCCATTCTAACTTAGGGCTTACTTTAAAAAAATGAAAGAGATTCAGCAAATGCTACTTTCTTCCTGTACCTGTCCCTTCTATTCCTGAGCTCTTGGTCTGCCTGGCCCATGACATCTCAGGGGATTCTGAAATGCTCTGGCATTTGTTTCCCTCTGAAGAAAAGGCCATGGATAATACCAAATAATGCTCATGATTATTTTTAGACTAAAATGGTAAGAATATCAGACTGGAAGCTTGCTGACCTCATCAAAGTATCTGCTAATGAATACTTCTGAAGGTTTTCAAGTCTCAGGTGAAAGCTGCATTGATTCGATCTCATGACACATATGACATGTTTATGAAAACTAAACAAAAACAAACACACACTTCCTTCCCATTCTCGATCACAGTTTCAGCCAACTCTCAGTTAAAAGAGATGATAAGGAAACATCTTGGAGCTAATTAGAATCACAAGCCTGTGACAGGAGACGGTTACTCATGTAGAACGTTTCTTAAAATGTCCACTTAATGCAAAACAGTTTATGATTGCATCTTGATTTGCCACTTTTGTGTATTATTAATGGATAATATAAATATCATTAAGAGATAAACATCAGAGATTTGTTGCTCTAAAAAAGCTTTCTAAAAGAGCAGAGTGCTAGTGTTAGTGATGGAAACTTAAGAGAATAGTAACTGAGAGTAAGGAACTGGATGCTTCCAGACCTCCCTTCCCCCACTTAGTCAGAACTCAGAGGGAGCCCCACCATGGAAGAGTGAGTCTGACAACTTTCAAAGTCCATAATTCACCAAAATTTTGAGAACCAAGGAGTATAAAACAAAAATTTCAACCAGAAGGCGGGGACTACCTTTGTATATCTAGTTCGGTGGTTCTCAGCTGGGGATGATCTTGCTTCCTGAGAACATTGGCAATGTCTAGTGACATTTTTGGTTTTCGTGACTGGGCAGGGCTGTGAGTAGAGGTCAAGGGATGCTGCTAAATATTCTTCAGTGCACAGAATAGTTCTCTCATAACAAAGAATTATCTGGCCCCAAATGTCATTAGTGTTGAGGTTGAGAAACCCTGGACACCTAAGAGGATGGCTGGTATGATATAGGTTCTTGATACCTCCTTTATAAGACGTTTGTTTATCTTCATCTCTCTAAAATTTAAAAATTTTCTTCATTACTTCTTTCTCTTCCAGTTTTATTCATGTATCTAGTTTTTCCCTACCCTGGTTCAGTGTTTATTGATAGTTAAGAGAGTATTCAATTCTGATTTAAAGCCAAAACCATGCAGGACTTAAATTTGGGACTCATACCCAATCCTTTTCTAAAGGTAGTTTGGGAGAGAGAAAACATTTAACAAGTATAAGAAGTATTGGAAAATATATATGTATGTATAGTGTTATGGTTTACATGTGTTATCCTCCCAAAGCTCATGTGTGAAACAATGCAAGAAGGTTTGGAAGAGATATGATTGGGTCATAGCCTTAACCTAATCCGTGAGTTAATCCTGATGAGATTAACAGAGTGGTAACTGGATTCTTTTACATGTGTGTAACTGGATTCTTTTACATGTATGTAACTGGATTCTTTTACATGTATGGCTGGAAAAAATGGTTCACTTGGGACATGGCTATGGGGTATATAGTTTGTATCTGGAGAGTAGAGTTAGTCTGTCTCTCTGCCTACTGATCACCATGTGAGCTGCTTCCCTCTGCCATACTCTATACCCATGATGTTCTGCATCACCTCCAGGCCCAAGGAATGGAACCTGCTATCTATGGATTGAGACCTCTGAATCTGTGAGCCCTCAAATAAAACTTTCCTCCCCTACAATTGTTCTGGTCAAATCCTTTAGTCACAACTGTGAAAAAAAATTACTAAACATGTGTGCACACACACACACACACACACACACATGCGCACACACACGCTCACAGAA